TTATCTAGGAGGGGGGCCCTGATCCTGGGAGCTTACAATCTAGGAGGGAGGGCCCTGATCCTGGGAGCTTACAATCTAGAGGGAGGGGGCTGATCCTGGGAGTTTACAATCTAGGAGGGAGGGGCTGATCCTTGGAGTTTACAATCTAAGAGGAAGGGGCTGATCCTGGGAGCTTACAATCTAAGAGGGAGGGGCTGATCCTGGAGCTTACAATCTAGGAGGGAGGGCCTGATCCTGGGAGCTTACAATCTAAGAGGGAGGGGGCTGATCCTGGGAGCTTACAATCTAGGAGGGAGGGGCTGATCCTGGGGCTTACAATCTGGCGAGGAGCCTTTACAAGTTTCAATCTAGTAGGGAGGGCCCTGATCCTTGGAGTTTACAATCTAGGAGGGAGGAGCTGATCCTTGGGAGTTTACAATCTAGGAGGGGGCTGATCCTGGAGCTTACAATCTAGGAGGGGGGGCCCTGATCCTGGGAGCTTTTACAATCTAGGAGGGAGGGCCCTGGCTGATCTAGGAGGGAGGGCTGATCCTGGGAGCTTACAATCTAGGAGGGAGGGGCTGATCCTGGGAGTTTACAATCTAGGAGGGAGGGGCTGATCCTGGGAGCTTACAATCTAGGAGGGGGAGGGCCTGATCCTTGGAGCTTACAATCTAGGAGGGGGAGGAACTGATCCTTGGAGCTTACAATCTAGGAGGGAGGGGCTGATCCTGGGAGCTTACAATCTAGGAGGGAGGGGCTGATCCTGGGAGCTTACAATCTAGGAGGGAGGGGCTGATCCTGGGAGCTTACAATCTAGGAGGGAGGGGCTGATCCTGGGAGCTTACAATCTAGGAGGGAGGGCCTGATCCTTGGAGCTTACAATCTAGGAGGGAGGGGCTGATCCTTGAGTTTACAATCTAGGAGGGAGGGGCTGATCCTTGGAGTTTACAATCTAGGAGGGAGGGGCTGATCCTTGGGAGTTTACAATCTAGGAGGGAGGGGCTGATCCTTGGAGCTTACAATCTAGGAGGGAGGGGCTGATCCTGGGAGTTTACAATCTAGTAGGGAGGGCCCTGATCCTTGGAGTTTACAATCTAGGAGGGAGGAGCTGATCCTGGGAGTTTACAATCTAGGAGGGAGGAGCTGATCCTGGGAGCTTACAATCTAGGAGGGAGGGCCCTGATCCTGGGAGTTTACAATCTAGGAGGGGGGGCCCTGATCCTGGGAGCTTACAATCTAGGAGGGAGGCTGATCCTTGGAGCTTACAATCTAGGAGGGAGGGGCTGATCCTGGGAGCTTACAATCTAGGAGGGAGGGGCTGATCCTGGGAGCTTACAATCTAGGAGGGAGGGGCTGATCCTGGGAGCTTACAATCTAGGAGGGAGGGCTGATCCTTGGAGCTTACAATCTAGGAGGGAGGGGCTGATCCTTGGGAGTTTACAATCTAGGAGGGGGGGGCTGATCCTTGGAGTTTACAATCTAGGAGGGAGGGGCTGATCCTTGGAGTTTACAATCTAGGAGGGAGGGGCTGATCCTTGGAGCTTACAATCTAGGAGGGAGGGGCTGATCCTTGGAGTTTACAATCTAGGAGGGAGGGGCTGATCCTGGGAGCTTACAATCTAGGAGGGAGGGAGGGGCTGATCCTTGGAGCTTACAATCTAGGAGGGAGGGGCTGATCTTGGGAGCTTACAATCTAGGAGGGAGGAGCTGATCCTGGGAGTTTACAATCTAGGAGGGGGGGCTGATCCTGGGAGTTTACAATCTAGGAGGGAGGGCTGATCCTGGGAGTTTACAATCTAGGAGGGAGGGGCTGATCCTGGGAGTTTACAATCTAGGAGGGAGGGGCCTGATCCTGGGAGTTTACAATCTAGGAGGGAGGGGCTGATCCTGGGAGTTTACAATCTAGGAGGGAGGGGCTGATCCTGGGAGCTTACAATCTAGGAGGGGGGCCCTGATCCTTGGAGCTTACAATCTAGGAGGGAGGAGCTGATCCTGGGAGCTTACAATCTAGGAGGGGGGCTGATCCTGGAGCTTACAATCTAGGAGGGAGGGGCTGATCCTTGGAGCTTACAATCTAGGAGGGGGGGCTGATCCTTGGAACTTACAATCTAAGAGGGAGGGGCTGATCCTGGGAGCTTACAATCTAAGAGGGAGGGGCTGATCCTTGGAGCTTACAATCTAGGAGGGAGGGGCTGATCCTGGGAGTTTACAATCTAGGAGGGAGGGGCTGATCCTGGGAGTTTACAATCTAGGAGGGAGGGCTGATCCTTGGAGCTTACAATCTAGGAGGGAGGGGCTGATCCTGGGAGTTTACAATCTAGGAGGGGGGGGCCCTGATCCTGGGAGTTTACAATCTAGGAGGGAGGGGCTGATCCTGGGAGTTTACAATCTAGGAGGGGGGGCCCTGATCCTGGGAGTTTACAATCAAGAGAGAGAGGGGCTGATCCTGGGAGTTTACAATCTAAGAGGGAGGGGCTGATCCTGGGAGTTTACAATCTAGGAGGGGGGCACTGATCCTGGGAGTTTACAATCTAGGAGGGAGGGGCTGATCCTGGGAGTTTACAATCTAGGAGGGAGGGGCTGATCCCGGGAGCTTACAATCTAGGAGGGAGGGGCTGATCCGGGAGCTTACAATCTAGGAGAGGGAGGGCTGATCCCGGGAGTTTACAATCTAGGAGGGAGGGGCTGATCCTTGGAGCTTACAATCTAGGAGGGAGGGGCTGATCCTGGGAGTTTACAATCTAGGAGGGAGGGGCTGATCCTTGGAGCTTACAATCTAGGAGGGAGGGGCTTATCCTGGGAGTTTACAATCTAGGAGGGAGGGGCTGATCCTTGGAGCTTACAATCTAAGAGGGAGGGCCTGATCCTTGGAGTTTACAATCTAGGAGGGAGGGGCTGATCCTGGGAGCTTACAATCTAGGAGGGAGGGGCTGATCCTGGGAGCTTACAATCTAGGAGGGAGGAGCTGATCCTGGGAGCTTACAATCTAGGAGGGAGGGCTGATCCTGGGAGTTTACAATCTAGGAGGGAGGGCTGATCCTTGGAGCTTACAATCTAGGAGGGAGGGGCTGATCCTTGGAGTTTACAATCTAGGAGGGAGGGGCTGATCCTGGGAGCTTACAATCTAGGAGGGAGGGGCTGATCCTTGGAGCTTACAATCTAGGAGGGAGGGGCTGATCTTGGGAGCTTACAATCTAGGAGGGAGGAGCTGATCCTGGGAGTTTACAATCTAGGAGGGGGGGCTGATCCTGGGAGTTTACAATCTAGGAGGAAGGGGCTGATCCTGGGAGTTTACAATCTAAGAGGGAGGGGCCTGATCCTGGGAGTTTACAATCTAGGAGGGAGGGGCTGATCCTGGGAGTTTACAATCTAGGAGGGAGGGGCTGATCCTGGGAGCTTACAATCTAGGAGGGGGGGCCCTGATCCTTGGAGCTTACAATCTAGGAGGGAGGAGCTGATCCTGGGAGCTTACAATCTAGGAGGGGGGCTGATCCTTGGAGCTTACAATCTAGGAGGGAGGGGCTGATCCTTGGAGCTTACAATCTAGGAGGGGGGGCTGATCCTTGGAACTTACAATCTAAGAGGGAGGGGCTGATCCTGGGAGCTTACAATCTAAGAGGGAGGGGCTGATCCTTGGAGCTTACAATCTAGGAGGGAGGGGCTGATCCTGGGAGTTTACAATCTAGGAGGGAGGGGCTGATCCTGGGAGTTTACAATCTAGGAGGGAGGGGCCTGATTCTGGGAGTTTACAATCTAGGAGGGAGGGGCTGATCCTGGGAGTTTACAATCTAGGAGGGAGGGCTGATCCTTGGAGCTTACAATCTAGGAAGGAGGGGCTGATCCTGGGAGTTTACAATCTAGGAGGGGGGGCCCTGATCCTGGGAGTTTACAATCTAGGAGGGAGGGGCTGATCCTGGGAGTTTACAATCTAGGAGGGGGGGCCCTGATCCTGGGAGTTTACAATCAAGGAGAGAGGGGCTGATCCTGGGAGTTTACAATCTAAGAGGGAGGGGCTGATCCTGGGAGTTTACAATCTAGGAGGGGGGGCACTGATCCTGGGAGTTTACAATCTAGGAGGGAGGGGCTGATCCTGGGAGTTTACAATCTAGGAGGGAGGGGCTGATCCCGGGAGCTTACAATCTAGGAGGGAGGGGCTGATCCCGGGAGCTTACAATCTAGGAGGGAGGGGCTGATCCCGGGAGTTTACAATCTAGGAGGGAGGGGCTGATCCTTGGAGAGCTTACAATCTAGGAGGGAGGGGCTGATCCTGGGAGTTTACAATCTAGGAGGGAGGGGCTGATCCTTGGAGCTTACAATCTAGGAGGGAGGGGCTTATCCTGGGAGTTTACAATCTAGGAGGGAGGGGCTGATCCTTGGAGCTTACAATCTAAGAGGGAGGGCCTGATCCTTGGAGTTTCCAATCTAGGAGGGAGGAACTGATCCTTGGAGCTTACAATCTAGGAGGGAGGGGCTGATCCTGGGAGCTTACAATCTAGGAGGGAGGGGCTGATCCTGGGAGCTTACAATCTAGGAGGGAGGAGCTGATCCTGGGAGCTTACAATCTAGGAGGGAGGGCCTGATCCTGGGAGTTTACAATCTAGGAGGGAGGGCTGATCCTTGGAGCTTACAATCTAGGAGGGAGGGGCTGATCCTGGGAGTTTACAATCTAGGAGGGAGGGGCTTATCCTGGGAGCTTACAATCTAGGAGGGGGGGCTGATTTTTGGAGCTTACAATCTAGGAGGGAGGGGCTTATCCTGGGAGTTTACAATCTAGGAGGGAGGGGCTGATCCTTGGAGCTTACAATCTAGGAGGGAGGGGCTGATCCTGGGAGCTTACAATCTAAGAGGGAGGGGCTGATCCTGGGAGCTTACAATCTAAGAGGGAGGGGCCTGATCCTTCGGGATATGAAATGTGATCCTAAAAACATGACCACAAAGAGTAAATGTTGTGAACACACCTGAGACTGCAGAGGAGCGGCCATTGCTGTGTGCTGACCGGAGCTCTTCTTCTTTTCCAGGATCTTCTGAGGGAGGAGAAGAGGCGGGAGAGCTGACGGGGAGGATGACCATCTCCCTGGAACATGTAGAGGCCCAAATCCAGCCCAGACCTCTTCCTAATATACAGTGCCTTCATCTGCTTTTCCCCAGAAGGGCGGCGCCATCTTTGTTCAGACATCATCCGGAGTCACCATCTACTTCCTGGACTGAGATGCCGGCTCAGAGATGACCCAGTCACGTAAATCCTGGTGCCTGTGCAGTTCTTGGCAGTGTTCACAAATGTCTGACACAGATCAGCCCCTGCTGCAACCTCTACTACAAAATGTACAATCCGATCACTGGGGGAGGGGAGGACTGAGGAAATGCTTCCTCCTGCTTGCAGCACACTGATGACAGCTTCTGACCCTAGGCAAAGTAACAATGGGCAGTCTGAAGCCAGGCAAAGTAACTGGGAGAGGGGAGACTGAGGAAATGCTTTCTTCTGCCTGTCACAGACTGATGATATCACCTTAGCCTGGGCAAAGTTACAATATACAGTCTGATCACTGAAGAGGGAGGAGACTGAGGAAATGCTTCCTCCTGTCTGCAGCAGACTGATGACATCATCTCAGCCTAGTCAAAATCACTGTGGGAGGGCAGACTGAGGAAATGCTTCCCACTGCCTACAGCGGATTAATGATGTCATCTCAGCCTAGTCAAAATCACTGAAGAGGGGAGACTGAGCATATGCTTCCTGATTAGAGATGAGCGAAGAAATGAAAAATTCGATTCGACTGATTCGGGCGAATTCGGTGGACAATATTCGATTCGAGTCGAATAAATTTGCTGTGAATTTAACTTAAAAAAGGGTGTTTCTAGGCTTCAGAGAGCCTTTATATTAGTGCAGAACACTGTACCTTTAATTTATATGCCCTTGGAGTCTGCTGGGGAAGAGAAAATAATACTGTCAGTCAGTATGTATGACATGCAGATGAGTGCCGTCGATCTTAGAATCACCGCACACTTCACTCATTTGGGCAGTCACGGGGCCAAAAACCAGAGTGTGGAGCCACAGTGTGGCGGTGGAGGCAGCAGCAATGGGACGGCCATACAGCAAACCTATGACAAAATGGAACCCACCAGCAGTGTGAGGAGACCTGAAAGTGGCACAAGGCAGAGTGGGAGCAATGGGAGGCGGTTACAGGGACCCAGGTCACACTGTGGGCCCAGCAGCAAGCGGTGACCAGGCGGTTACGGGGTCGGGGGCCCATGGGCAGATTTGGGGCCTGGCAAGCACCTATGGGAGGCCTGTAATTCTGCCAGCACCCTATGACAAAAAATGTAACACACCAGCAGTGTTGTGAGGAGACCTGAAAGTGGCCAATGTTTGAGGCATGATTCATGGGGGATTTAGTCAGTTGCAAGCGAGCATGCGGATATGGGCCATTTGTGCCAAAGGAATGCGAGGAACTCTGCCTGTGCTCCATCTCCACAGCATACTAAGCCACGGTGCGTCTGGTCTGGGTCCTCTGTCTCCTCTTCCTCCTCCCTCTACCAGATTGCTCCTGCTCCTCCACTCCTGTCCGCTGAGTGGAAGAAAACCACCCATTTCACTCAATAATTCCTGAGCACCAATGTCCTCCTCTATTCTCCTCTTCTTCCTGAAATTCCTTGCCCACCACAGGGGTCAGTTTGGGCGTTGAGATCTGTGCCCCAGTCTACCGCACCTCTGATCCAGCCATTCGTTTAAACAGCATTTGTTGTCAAGGGCCGTGCATTAACAGAGGAATGGACGTCGTTCAACCCATAGTCCTGCCAGACTCAGCTGAATGCTAGCTGTGGCCTCTATTACTCAAACATAGCCTGAGCAAGCTTCGCATGGTGTTTTTTTTCACGCATGAGTCTGCCATCCTGGCTGCCATCGAAGTTACACAGCGGGAAGTACCCGTTCTTTCCGCTATTGTAAACACGTCAGGAAATCGTGTGATGGCCTTTCGCAGTTCGTAAAGGAGGTTCTAACCCATGTGTAGGGTTGAAATTTCCCACCCTCTGTTGCAAGGTCCACAGCATGGAGGAGTGGTTATATAGTGGCCCATGGCCGATTACGTGGCCTGGGCAGCAGCAAATGGGAGGCTCCGTTAATCTGCCAGCTCACCCTATGTCAAAAATTCAAACCCCCTGAAGCAGTGTGTGAGGGAGGGACCTGAAAGTGGCTTACATGGCAGAGCTGTGGCGATGGAGGACGAGCAGCAAGGGGGGGAGCTCACGATAGGGGGGACACCATGACCACACTCTGACTTGGCAAGCAGCATGAGGAGGGCGGTTATAGGGGCCCATGGCAGATGGCAAGGATTAGGGGCCTGGGCTATCTGGGCTGTCAGGTTCATCCCCAATGGGAGGGGTCCGTCTGTAATCTGCCAGCACCCTATGTGCAAAAATTCAAACTACACCGACCAAGCAGTGTGAGGAGACCTGAAAAAGTGGACATGGGGGTTAGGTGTGTGGCGATGGAGACAGCCGCAATTGGGGAGGCGACAAGGACCATGAGAATGTATCTTCTGGGTACGTCTCCTTTAAGGCAGCGGGATGAGGAGTGGCGGTTATATAGGGGATCTTTGCTGCTGATTAGGGGGCTTCTGCAGCAGCTGAGTGAGAGTCGCTCCGTAGAGTGGTTGCTATGCCACTATGTTTGGAAGATATTACAACAGCAGTGTGAGGAGACATGAGAGTGGGCCCAGTGCAGGGGTAGTGGCGATGGAGGAATTGCAGCAATGGCGTGGCCGTTACCGGGGTGCACGTCCATGACTCACTCCGGATGCTTTGGCAGCAGCATGCATTGAGGCGGCTGTTCAAATGAGTCAGCCACATCAGGATTAGGGGGCCTGGCATCGCCCCCTCATAGGATTGGCCCGTAATCAGCCATGTCACGTACTAGTTCACACAATTCAATCCTACAGCCAAGCCAAGTGTTGTGCAGGGGAACCCTCTTTGAAAAGTTTCTCATGTATATGTGGCACATTTGATTTTTCAAGGCGGAATTTAGTTCAGTGTGTGTTTCAAGGGAAAAACTGGTTGGTTTGGAAATTCCAGGTACTAATGAGGCTCCAGCCCGATTCAATGGATGCGTCCACCAGGGACCCCGTTGAGTCATAACTCGGCCCCCATTTGGGGGATGGACAGTCGTGCGAACTCCGCGGAGTTACTAAATACCTCTCTTGCGACTCACAGACGGGTGCTCCATGCCACGTAGGAGAATCGGGCACAGGGAAGGTGTATACAGTGGGCAAATTCAGCTGGGAACAGCGGGGCAAAGGGCAAGTTTCGTTTGCCCAGGTAGTCAAGGGGGATTGTGGACAACCCGCCTCATGGGCACTGAGTGCTGTCTTCCAGTTAGGCCTAAGCCTGTTTATGGCTGAGGGTCTCGCTTTCCAGAGTGTCTCTATGGATTAGCCTGCTGCATGCTGATTGGAAAAGCTCGGCCTAGTATTGTCACGTTACGTGCGAAGTGTGAAGGAAAAGCTTACTCATCCCCCACCCACCATGGAAACTGCCGACCACACGCCAGCCACCTCCGGTGGGAGCTGCTCACTGCATCAGACCACTATACGCGATTCTTCTTTTTTCTATTGGGACCTTTTTTTTTAGCTCTTCTGCCCAATTTTTTGAGTTGGTGGATTTAGTAAACAGAAGCGGCTGATTATCTTTAATCAAACAACAGGGACTGTTTTAACATGGCATGGGAAAACACAAAGGGGCCCTGGGATTACACAGGCACCATTTTTTTAATCGGGGGGCGAGGGTCCAAAAGGTGGGCAGCCAAAAGTATCCCCCCTGTTGAAAGGTTAATTTTTTCGGCTGTTTGCTACGCAAGAAAAAAAGGCTTTCTATGGGCCATTTTTTGCCCAAAGGGAAAGCGAGGGGACTCCCCTGCCTCCTTCTCCAAAAGCATACTGCCACGGTGCGTTCGGGGGCCTCTGTCTCCTCCTCCCCCTCTTCCAGATGCTCCCCCTTCCTTTCCATCCTGTCCGCGAGTGGAAAAAAAAAAAACCCCCCCTTTCACTCAAAATTCGGGCACAAAAGTCCTCTCTAAACCCCCTCCCCCTTCTTCCTGTCCTTTCCCCCACGGGGTCCCTGTGGCGTTGAGATCTGTGCGCCCCGTTTTACCCCACCCGACCCCCCATTGTTAACGCATTTGTTCAAGGACTTGCAACAGGGGGAATGACGTCGTTTATCCCCCTTAGTCCTGCCGACTCACGAATTTGGTGGCCCCCTCAAAAGGGGGGTGAAACAAAACGGGGAGGGGGTCACCCCCATGAGCTGCCCCAAAGGTGACATCCCAAGTTTCACAGGGGAGTAAACCCTTTTTCCCCTTTTTAACATCAGGGAAAAACGGTGATTTGGGCCCTTTTGGTGTTCGGTTTTAAAACGGTTTTAACATGTGTAGGGGTTGAATTTTTTCCCCCCCTTGTTGCAACGTCGCCCGATCAGGCGTGCTGTGGGGGAATTTCCCTTTTTGCCCCCCTGCAGCCCCAAGGGGGGGGGGTTTTCTTTTCGGTGTAGGAAAGGCTGAAATGCAGGGAAAGTTTGTTTAAATTTTTAAAGGTTTTCTTGCAAATGGGATGGTGGATTTTAGGAACCGCTTGGGCAACCAGATTGAAAACGTTTAAGCCCTGCAAAGGGGGCATTGGGAAAACCTTTCCCTTTACGCACGAGCAGGGCACCATGTTTTTCCCTTGTCGGGGCAAAAAAAAGGTTTTTCCGGGTTTTTTAGTTTGCGCGGAGGGGCAGCCCTCTGTCAAATTTTTCCCCGTTCATTACACTCAGAAGTTTTTCCCCCCCTGTGGATACGTTCGCCAAGGCATACCAGGGGCAGAACAGGGGTGGACAACCCTTGCGGCCCCTGACATGTGATATGGGCCC